TATTAATTGTAGTATTACTCTTATTCTTTGAGTTTGGTTATTATCTTATCTTTTGCACTTTGATTATCATTTTATCTTGTTACGACTATTTTTAAGGACAATTTGTCAGATTATCCATAGCATTTTACCATGACTTCTTCATTTATGTTGTTTCTCTCTATATTGCTTTGGACTATTATTTTTTTTCTTAAATTGAAGGTCTGTCAGAAATACTTAATAGGAATAACATTGGATTTTTTGTTGATATTTCCTTAGATAACTTTTTTGTTGATTTCGTCACATATTTACCTCTAAAGGGTTGTTTATCTTGAATTTGACGTTTGCCACAATAAAACTATGTAGATAAATAATAGGTTAAACTTAGGAAAATTTTCAAAAATATACTGGCCAACATAAACTATCATGCATGTAGTTATATTTTCAATTTATACAATAGTATACCTTTTGGAAAAACATTATACATATTGTATCAACTTTATTAAGAAAATATATAATAATATATAAGAGATATTTACATACAAATATAAGACTCAATTGGGTAATAAACTCAAATATAGGCTAAAACATATAAATATTTCTCCCAATGAACATAAAGTGTAATTTTTCCTTAATTTTATTTGACTAATATCAAAATATAGATAAATTTAGACGAAAATATTTATTCTCTATTTCTCCTCCTCCTACTCCTTCTACGAGATACAAGATAGAGAGATTCAAGAGGTAAGAAATTGAGGGAAGATAGAAGAGAAAAAAAAAATCATAATTGAAGTAAATTGCAGACCAATAAATACAGATTTGTAATTTCCTAATCTTACCAAAAGATATTTAAGAGAGATATAAAATAGATATAAATAGATACAATTCACCTAAAAATATTGTCTACCCAAATACTCTCTATTTTATTTTATTCTATAATGTTTATACTACTAGGATTAACTAAGATTTTTAAAAAAAATGTCCTTAATTGTTTGTACACCATACTTGATTCTTGTTTCTATACTATCGTGAAACACTCTTTAATCGTTTGATTGGGAACAAGTTATCCCATGATTAATTATTCTAGAATAATTATTTGGGATACATTCCATCACTGTGGTATAAATGGTGGGATAAGTTATCTCAAACATGTCAACCAAACATGACACCAAATTTTATTCCAGAACTATTTATTTTTATCTCTCACACTAAACGAAACGACCCAAGTTCTTAATATCTGGTAGAAATTATTTCATGCAATAAGTACTTCCTGAATTTGCATTAGTGAATGACGTAGTTTTTATTTTCTATTGATACCTTCTTTTTTATTTTATTTCTATTACTACCTTCAAACCTATATATTATTGTGATTTTATAAAAAAAAATAATGATTGATTAAATATGTGGATTATGGTATGATCAATTTTATCTGCCATAATGATTGCCACTAGAAAGGGTCTCATTTATAGGTTATTAATATTAATTATGTCATAGTTGCCAGCAATAACAAACGTGGCAAAATTTGTTAGATATGATATTTTTAATGCAGCTTTAATGGCAATAGTAAAGTGACGCCAAAAGTAATTACAATAATAATTAATATGGTTTTTTTTCTAAGAGTCTATATAAATATTGTTAAAGGTTTTAGCTATATCCCGAATATAATGAAATTTAAATAATTGTCAATATATATTTTTACTATAATAAAAAGGAAAAACGACATAATTAGATATATTACACTATCATATATACTATTATTGTTTGTACTTTTAAAATATTACGTATCTTATCATTAGTTAAGAATTTCCTATTGTTAATTGAAGAAAATACACTTGGATACATGTATTTTTGTTACCAGATACACAAAAATAGAGAGAGACGAGTGAGATTAGAGAGGGAGGGGAGCAAGATTCATATGTATCCAGATACATGCAAAATCATATTAGATACATGTATTTATATATATCTGATGTGATTCGCATGTATCTGGGATATTAGATACATGAGAAAGTGATCCTGAGCAAGATTTGTTATCTACCCAAGATACATATGAATCCACTTAAATATATTGTATTTAAAATAATTTACACCTAATTTTAGCCTCATATATTTAATATACTACTTGAATTCATAAATAATTGAGAACCAGATGCGCTATTACCCTACCAAATAGCTATTCATTCACCATTGGCTAATGATATCTAAATAATTGAGGCACATTTAGGGAGTTCATAACTTTGATGGTCACTCAACTAATAATTATTTTCACAGAAAGTCACTCAACTTTCATTTTCAACTAAAAAGTCATTCAACTATGACTTCTTTGCACAAAAAATCACTCAACCTGTTTAATTATTTTTTTCATTAAAATTTACTGACAATTTAATTATTAACCAAAAAAATTTAAGAACCAAATATATATCCATTAAATGACCCGCCCCATTTAACCAGACCCGCTAAAAATATAATATTGATAATTGAACATTTTATTTTACCATTAATTCCCAAAATCATTCTCTGTTGGGGATGTCCCCATCTTGTTTATCTTCTCAATCAATTCAAAATACTGCTCAGCAATCCTCAAACTATTAACATCAGAACCTCCATCTTCAAGAATTGCTCTTGATACCTCAGTAATTGCATTCGCAGTCGCTTGAGCATTAGATAAAATGATTGTGATTTTGGAGTCTGAGGCTGCTAAAAATGATCAAGTGAATAGAGCTAAGGGAGAAGCTGATGTTATTTTATCTAATGCTCAATATTAGATAAAACTGTTAAATTATGTCTTAGGCCTAACTCACACCCCAAAAGTTAGCTCAAAGGGAGGAGGATTGTCCAATCCCTTATAAGGAGTTCAATCATCTCATTAACCACTGATGTGGGACTTTTGTCATTCTTTAACACCCCCACCTCACGCCCAGTGCTTAGCATCTGGTGCGTGGGCAATTTTGATTTTGGGGGCCCCAACATCGGGTGAGACAGGCCCTGCTCTGATTTCGGGCCCCCAAAATCAAAATTGCCCACGCACCAGATGCTAAGCACTGGGCGTGAGGTGGGGTGTTAAAGAATGACAAAAGTCCCACATCAGTGGTTAATGAGATGATTGAACTCCTTATAAGGGATTGGACAATCCTCCTCCCTTTGAGCTAACTTTTGGGGTGTGAGTTAGGCCTAAGACCTAATTTAACAAAAACAACCTAAAGGTACAACCCTAATCAGCACTAAAAAAGATAATCGAATGCCTGAATTCATCGGAGGCCGACGAGTTCGCCTCCATCTAGTCGTCGATCAACTTCCGTCACCGTTCATAGCTGCCGGAATCCTAGTATAATCGACATGGTTGAGGTTGAGGCTTCACCTGATACTCACCACACAATGACAATGGTTTCAATTCTCAATTTCCTTCGATTTTTCATCTTGCTTTGTGCCTTATATTTTGTCAAATTACATGACTAATTTGTTTTGGAGATTTCTTGTTGGAATAGAGAAATATAAATTAAAGAAGCAAGTGGTTCAAAATAATAATTCAGGAATGAGAGAAGTTATGAGAAAAGATGTTTCATCTTTTTGATGTAGACATTGTATAACATTATTTCTTCTTACTATTCATTAATATAAAGATGGATCACCCACCAACAATTTTTTATTAGGATCCGATCAAATAAAATCTTGATATGAAATTAAAATGAGATAAAGTTAAAGTTTTAATTTGTTTGGACATGTTACGTTGTATTTTTTGCTCATAAACATAAAAGTTCATACGTTGTGAAATTCATCAAAATTGTCCAAATTATTTAAACAATCTTACCAAATATGCAAAAATTCATAATTAAAGTATAATATGTTACGAAGCTAATATTCTTAATAAAAGTACAATATTTATTGATGAACTTTAGTTCAATAAGAAAGTAAAATTGAACCTGAGTTGTAGTGTACTATATTTACCGAGTCATTTGTTTGTCAATATCCTTAGTAACTACATCATGTTCATGTTCTATGAATGTTAAAAATCACTCCTTTGATATTCTAATAAAAAATATGTAGATATAAATAATGATCTTTTTTAACAAAATGTAAACTTGTAGGTCAACTTTTGTATTTGAAAAATGTAAAATCATGATATGAAATCTTTTTGGATAATTTGGGATTTCAGATGAAATTACATGTCCAAAAATGATTTTATCTCATAATATCAAATCATGAGATGAAATTGCATATCCAAACGCCTACTTAAATATCATTGAGAGTCCTCCTATTTTTTATTTTTATTTTTTAAAGGCAACCTAGTGGATAAAGCATCTCTTGTTCATGCAGTGAAATGGCCACATTTCAAGAGGGTGTTATAGACAATTTATCTTGATAAAATTAATAATGATTACTTTCACGACTCAAATTCGTTACTAGGTCGCACAGAAAAAGTTTTGCTCACTAAATTAAAAATTTAACTAACATAAAATAATTTATAACATAATGATTTTTCACACTATTAATTTAATTTGATATTCTGCACCAAGTCGTCATCCATATTCCCTAGGTTAATGGTTCCTCTCGTTATGAATAGTTATTTTGGGGTTGTTTAGTTGGGAACAAGTTATTTCAGGATAATTAATTTCGGGATAAGTTATTTCTCACCATGTATATGAATAACCTATTCCATTACTATGACGAAAAATGGTGGGCTAAATAATCCAAAGACTATCTAATACCTCCCGGCTCCAACCGAACATGGAACAAAATAATTCAATATTTTATCCTGAAATTATCATACCTTCTGGCTTCTACCTCATACCAAATACTCTTTATAATTATTATATCGTCGATGACCTAAATCCTGATAATAAAACTTTCATATTGTTAGCGAACAAAAGCTATAAAACTCTAAAAAAAATTAAAAAGAATTTAACCCAAGATCCATTTATATATATATATATATATATATATATATATAAGGCATATCAAGTGAC